CACACTCCAGCACCTCAATGTCTTTCTTGTAGTGAGGGGCCCAAAACTGAACACAGTATTCGAGGTGCGGCCTCACCAGTGCCGAGTACAGGGGCACGATCACTTCCCTCCTCCTGCTGGCCACACTATTTCTGATACAGGCCAGGAAGGATGCCACCTTCTTGGCCACCTGGGCATACTGCCGGCTCATGTTCAGCCGGCTGCCAACCAACACTTAGCTTGCCTATTCTCTCTCCCACTTCACCCTAAGCATGGTGAGGTTTGTCCCAAAGCCCATCTTCCCTCAAATAGGCATGGGGCACTGCTTTTGGGTTTTGTTTTACCTTGTGCTGTTAAGAGCATGCAAAGGGCTTTAGACTCGCTTTTGCTTATTATAAGGAAGGAAGTCTCCCAAAACGTGAAAATTCATTTCCAAAACACTTGAATTCCTACATCACCTTAGCTACTTCTGAAAAATTTGCTGTGTATGTAGAGCTGCAGCCTGTTTTTAATGGATAGTATACTTCCTCCAGTATTCCTAAGTGATTCCTAAGTATAGCTTGCCTCCTGCAAGAACTACCAATGAGCCAGGATTTTTAAAAGACCTGAGACCTCCTGAGGGAACTGCTTTGGCTTTGCTCAGGAGTGTGACTGATGGAGCTGATGGACGTTTTCCATTGATTTCAGCGCAAGCAAGATCAAGCTTCTTGTACTTAACATTGCTTAAGTCCCCATGTGGCCTCTGTTCTTGTGCTGGAGCACAGCAGCCTCATCATGCCATGCACAGACTAATCAAGTATGAGAAAAAGTTTGAATTTTCTCAGTTTGGCTTACACACAGAAATGAAGTACTGCCTGGGTTGAAATGGATGGAGAGAGCACGATGTCAAAAGACTTGTGAACCATGTCTCGAGAAATGAGAGCTGCATCTGTTCAGAGCTACATTCTGTGAAGCCCCATTCCAGGCTGTCGGTCTGAAGACATTAATCTTGAAAATTTTCAAACAAGATGGATGGAGGAGGCCTTTTCTAAATAGTAACTCAAAGCCATACAAGGAGTGTTTATCTGTATTCCTCCATCCTTTGTGAGGATGACAGGCTTGTGTTAGGCTGCATGAAGAGGAACACCTAGCCCCATTAGAATCCCACCAGAATCCCACCTTCTTGGCTTACAAGTCCAAGAACATAAAGCACTGGTTTGATCCCTACCTAGTATTTAATAATATTGCTGGAGCAATATTTGTGCTGGCAGTGAAGACTGAAAAAAAATCTTTAAGACTTCTCAGTCTTAAAGAAACATGTTGAATATGTTGAAAAACATACACCAGTTACTTTCAACCCCACAGCAAGCCTGTTGATCCTTGCCCTGCAGATATTTTGTTTCCATTTTCCTACATACTCAGGAGTCTTATTCCTAGATTTTCTTGCACTCACAGGGCAGGATAAGCCTGTGGAACTCCTTGCTGTGCAGTGTCATGGAAATTAAGAGTTTGAAAAGATTAAGAAACGAGTTAGCCAAGAATATGAATTATAAAAATACCTGGGGCTGTAGTCTCCACATGCTCAAAGAATTTTGAAGAACTTCTTCATCTGTCAGGGCTTAGACACTTGCTGTTGGGACTGAGGAGAAGATTCTTTTATGGTCAGATTATTCACTAACAGCTTAGTATCAATTTTTCCATTGCAATAGCTAGTCCTTGCCATTGCTGTAGCTGGACCAGATAGTGCTAGCGATACCCAGTTTAACAATACCTCTGACTTATTGTTGAGTCACAAACATTTTGGGCTGTAAACCAACTGCTTTAGAGAGAAGGAATTATTACTGGCAGAAATTGAGTTTTTAACTCTAGCCTTCTGATGAGTGACGGATATCTTGTTGTTGGCAGGTAAAGTTGGACCTATTGCTCAGGAAGCATCTGTGATTCCTGCTGTTGAAAAGGAAACAAGACACTCCTCTAACCTGCCAATGACACCATGCAGCCCTGCTGAACCACCGTGGCTATCCCTGGCCAAGAAGAAAGCCAAAGCATGGAGTGAAATGCCCCAGATTGTACAATAGCAAATGACATGAGCATCCTTCTTCGTATTGCCAATAGCTGCGTTAACTCCATTTAATCACTTCTTTACTGTGACCATTTTTTTGAGAAATAAGAGCCTTAAAACTTTTGATCAGACTGTTGTATGTAAATACACAATGAAGAAATGCCATCACAGGCTTAATCTGAAGTATTACTACCTACGTTTCCTACTACCAAATACTAGGAAAACTTGATCAATTTGTTATATCCTTACACATTTGACAGTGATGTTCTAAGAAGACATGCTTTAGGCTTTTGAAACATTCCCCTTGCAAAATATGTTTTTAAAGTTTCCACAGACCATACAGTATTTTATGCAATGTGGCTTTGACTAAGAAATTAATGTGTGCTATAAAATAGATATAATGCTGGGCACTGACACATCATGACTCATGGGCATTGATGTCATCACACTTCTTTCTCTAATGCTCTGGGATGAGCAGTCTGACTTTGCCTCTGATTGTTAATGGGTCTGTTTTGTGATAGCTATAGGATCCAAACAGCATTGTGAGTTGGAGTAATTCTGGGTTTTGGGTGGTTTGAAGTCGCAATGCTGTGGGTCTTGTGCTTTGCTCATTGATGCCTGCTGGAATGGCCCAGAGCCACACACCTTCTATTCTCTCCCATGCACTAGAAAACCACCACACTCTAGCATATACTCTGCTTTTGGTTACACCTTTGGAAATGTGGGCTAATTTGGGCATTCTACCAAAAAAAAAAAGTCCTTACTTTAATTATGGCAAATAGTGATTTATTTTTTGTGAGATTCCTCAGCCAATTGTCTCTCTTAAAGAGTGTGTTGGGGATGGGAACTATTTGCTACTTAGAAAGTGGCATCTTGTTTTCAACAAATGCCACTCTACTCTCCATGTTCATGTGAATGTGTATTTAGTCAGGTGTATTTAATATTAGTGATAAAAGGGGCATCTGCTTTCCTCCTTGCCTCATCAGTCTTTAACCAGTAACTCAGCATCAGTCTAAGAATGTGCAGCTGGGAAAGGATTATTCTCTCAGGGCCTGGCCTTGCAGTTACTTAACTTGACAGAAGTTTTGCTATTGACTTTGAAGGAAGCAGACATTTGAAAAAGAAGCTTTGTAAAATTATGTTAGTGGCTTAAGTGGCAGTGGCACTTACCGGTCCTTTTCAGTTTTTGCAGCATTGCACCTTTATGTAGTTTTTGTTTACAGTCAGTGCAAAATTTGAAAGCTGACTTGGCTGATTGACAGTTTTTAGCTGGAAAGTTGGTAGCTATTTTTAAGGAAAATATTACCTATTGATAGGATTAACTGCAAAATAAAAAATTTGGTTTCAGATCAGCTCAAGCAAGAATTTAATCTTCCAGTCTTGGCCTGAATTTAATATGTAGCTCTTGCAGTTTGAAAACAGTATTAATTAGGAGCTAGACTGTGATTTATTTTTTTTTATATATAGGTGAAAACTTACTCACTCAAGTAGGCTCACTGAAGCTATACATACTGTTTATTTTGTACTAATGCCAGAAAGAGTAAGAGTTTCACATTGGCTTGGTGATCCATGCCTATTTTACTACTTGTTTTTCTCTATTTTAGGAAGCATATCTTCTCTTACAAAGAACTGAAACATTTGTATTTCTCTGAAACTTTTGAGTGTAATGTAAATGAACATACTCAGCCTTGATTCCTGAAGTTTTGTACAGCTGCCATCCCATCACAAGCTTACTGACCCAGTGTAAAATACGTGCATTTCTATATTTGGCAAACTCTCTTCTCTTTTTATTAGTGTGGATTGTGATCCTTCACCCAAAGTACTGCAAATGATACTATAATCTCTCTCTCCCAGTGTTTGCTGTTGATCTTAATATTGTTTCTGTCTTTTATGTTTGGTATGTATATATGTCTTTGTAATCCTTGTCTTGAAGGAACCCCTTTTGTATTCTGTTCCCATTATTTGGTTTACGATTAAATGCTGTTGCCAGTGATGATGATATAATTCCTGGGAAAAAAAGAGTGATAGATGGCCCTCATCATTAAGGAAAAAATAAAAAGAGGTCTTTGGTCAATATAGACTCTATATATGGATATACTGCATAGATCTTGTTTTGAGATGATTTTGTGTGGCCTAGGACTGATCAACACAGCTGGTCAGACTAATGAACTTTTCTAAATCTAGCTGTTTAAAGGTGTAAAACATCACCAGAGAGCTGGGGGCTCTCCTTTTGTTCTGGAGTTATTGCTCCTTCAGTACAGGGTTGGCTTGAAGGCTAGCACTTGTGGTCGCAGGAAGCCTCGTAAATACTCGTTTGAATGTGCTTTGGTATTGCTAGCCAGCTGCTGTAAGACATTTTGGGGTCGCTTTAAAAAAGAATGACATGAGAATCATGTGATGTTACATTTGAAATTTACTCGCCTTCTGGGTTTCTGAAATTAATGTTTTCAAGTTTCTCTCTGCAACCAAGGGAACAAAAAGCATGTAGAGAAAAAATCAAAACTGAGTCTTGCATAATCACAAGAGTTTAGAAGATGGGCTTTTAAGAAAAACATTGAAATATCAGTGATTTATTGATGCATTTATAGAAGTAGATGGCTCTACTAGCATGGCTTTGATTTCCTGTCGTCCTACTGTAGTTTTTAGGTGTTCAATCAGTGCAAGTAACTAATATAATAAGCTCATCTTGGGTGATTATTTCTAGACACAGTCACTGTCTTTGAAAATAAGCTGTCTTGACATGCAGAGTTCATTGCAGAATGTCATTATGAGGTTTTATGGCTCAGGATCTTTAGTGGAGGATCTAGAAAGCCATCCCTGAAATACCCTGTGCACAGTACAGCGGCTGGGGTTTCAGCTGGCTTTGGTGCTGCTGTGTGACAGCAGAGGGTGCTAGTGCCATCCCCGAGGAGCGCAGACGGGTTCTCGGTGTTCTAGAACGCAGATTTCAGTATGCATTTATATGTGCACTATTGCAGTAAGGAGACTGGAGGCTTTTATTAATGCAGAGAATTATGCATTATTAGTGCAGAAAGGTCTGAAAGAGAGGTGTGTTTCTGTTTGTGATTTGATGGAGTGTTTGGAGCTATAAATTATAGAAAAAATACTTTACCTTGTTGTTACAAGAAGCCCCTGAGAATTGGTGACGACGATGGGGAAAGGTAGGTTACATGGTGAATTCAGTCCTTCAGCGGGGCCATGCAGGAAGATGCGGGAACGTGTCCAAAAAGAGCATTGTAGTTTGGCATTTAGAAAGCATCTGCTGCTTAGAACAACTGCTGCCTGGCTAGAGGTTGATCTTCATCCCAGCCAGATGTAGAATCTGATGATTTTACAGAAGAGATTAGAGAGACAAACAGCAACTTGGCGTGCACCTAGCTGTAGATTACGGAGATTCCTTTTGCTGTAACAGTGAGCTGTAAAGACTTGGACTAAAAGAGAATCTGTTACGTTATCATCCAGCTGGGAATCTACTTCTAATTAAGTGGGTTTGTGGACAAGAGGGAATGAGTCAGTTTAAATGAGGGAAAAAGACTCCAAAATTTCCAAAGCTACGTGCTTCTGCTCTAGCACAACTCTGACAACACTTCTGTTACGAGAATCTTGTGTACACATCTCCTTAAATAGATCCAAAGAATAAATTCTAAAATTCAGATATAACTGAGGAGCCAATACTCATTTCAATTACCATACTTGGAAGGAAAGTCTTAGAATAGTGAGGAAAGACTAACCATATTGAAAACACTAAACACTAGCCCTTTTCATGTTAGAAAGTTTGGATAGGGAGGGCCCTCCTAACTAGTATTACATTATGTCTTTTTAAGTGCTGTAGTCTAAAATAGTAAATGCAATTTGTTTTGAAGTATTACACTAGAAGTTCTGAGCTTAGAAAAGCTGTAATTCCTGAGTTTGCGCCACCTGCTCTGTTAAGTGCTTTTGAGATCAATACAGGAAAGATACTAGCCTGTGAAGATGCTTTGTCCTTTAGAACTGATACTGGAAGGTGATACATCTGAAGGATACTGGTAGTGAGAGATATGATTAGCACCCTAATAAATAAGGCAAACATCTCTGTCTGTCTTTTCCTCTAGCGTGTGTTAGCCTATCTACGTTTTTGTTAGAGATTCATCCTGGTTATAAGATTTGACAAATTGCCTCATCAACTGTCACCAAAATGTTAGTAATGATGACGTGGAACCTCTCATGTTTGGGGAATCTGAGCATCTGTTTAGGATTCTGACCTTGATTTCTTGCTTGCTGTAGTTGTTGCATTGTCTCTTCTATGTTGTCAGGAAGTATTGCACCCAAAGCGTCAATGTTTGTTACAGGCGGCTGTTGTTACGGTCTGGGTTAGTTCTTGGTGCAGAGGTTGACTGAAACCTCTGTTTTTCGTTGAAAATGTTTTTTAATGTCTTTTATGGAAGTAGGCAGGTGAAATAAACTGTAAATTCTGAACTTGGAACACAAAACCATGCATCTGCCCAGAACAAAAAGGTTGCTCAGGTATTTCCAGCTGGATGGATGAAGGGGCATGGCTGGATGAAGGTGAATGACTAGGGAAGAATGATGGTTTAAGTTAAGAAACAGAAGGCTTAGGGTGGCAGCTACAATTCAGATTGCTCTTCCATAGTGGGATATATCTAAGCCCAAGGAGAGGTATCGAAAGGGGCCTTTAAGTAGTGAAGCTCTTCATGCATCTCCTCTCTCTGCACATGAGGACACAGAACTTCGTATGTTCTTGTAAATGAATGGAAATGCATCAGAGATGCCCACTGCCATCTGCAGCTATTTTTTTCTTTCATTTGATGCAGTCCATGCCTTTCTACTTTATTTGGTCCAGGAGAGGTAGCGCTTTGTTACCAGACCTCATTCCTTATTCTGAACCACATTAAGCAGGTGAGCACCTTGACTGCACTGCAAATCAAAGCGTGTTGTGACCAGCTGGTCAAGTCCACAGCAGTGCAGCACTTTAAATGGAAGTGCTGTATGATCTCTGTGTTAAAATGCAGCTTCTCAGAAGTGAGCTAAGCCAAAGTTTAGCAGCTTCCCCTGACTTGAGGGGCAGATTATTCACTATGGAAAATGTGAGATGCTATTATTATTCTTATTGTGCTAGGAGAGATTTAAAAATAAGCTATTTTAGTAGCTCTTTATTTTTTAGAGGCAGTTAAGAAAAATCTAGAGGCAGATTATCTAAATGGGATTATTAACTGCCAATTCTTAGACTGATCTATAAACCGAGTTAGTCACTAAACAAGAAACAGGTATGAAAATGGCTGAGGTGTAGAGTATTTTACTGATACAATTTTGTATGATGTAGAAATGAAAAGGCAGCAAGAAGGGATTGATTGACATACATAACCTAAATGGAAAAGGTTGTTTGGTACCCGAAACTCTCGTTCCAGCCTTTCTTCTATCTGCCTCAGAATAGTTCTGTTAAAAAACCCATAGCTCCTCTCTCTAAGCATTCTTACTTTTCATTTGTGGGATCAAAACCACTTTTTACTTAACCTGTTTTGTAGTCAGCCATATTTTACAGAAATCTAATGAAAAGCTGACAAGTCCAAGATCATGTACCTATCAATACTGGCAACACTGCCTTGTTCAAAGTTCACCCTAACCTACTTTGTTAAGCTAATACTTCACTGCATTTTCCCTATTACACCATTCTGGCTCCAAATTAGTTTTGATTTACAGGTATTTTTCCAACACAGAAGGGTGAGGTTGACTGCTTTAAAATTAGAAGCTTTCCGTATTGCTCAGGAATATGTTTCTGTGGCATTGAGGTAACTTTTTCCAAATTACACGGTAAGTTCATTGTAGCAACCACAGCAATGTATGGGAAAGGGTCAAAGTCCTGGGGCTGTGTTGTGTTTCCATAGAGTTTAAATTACGTGCAGCAGCCTTCCCTAATGATGTCATCGGCACTGTTGAGAGCTAACAAAGCAGGAGGAGATGTTGCTGGCTGGCTCCTAGCGAGTGCATCTTTCCTGCTGTGCTAAATGCCTATGTCATTGGTGATGTGGGCAAATGGAGCAAAGTGACAGTCGTTGAGAAGCAATGGAGGGGTGATGTGCCCCCCAAAGGTGCAGCATTTTACCAGTTGTGCATGTGGGATGAAATAACTTCACTGGACTTCGTGAGCTGTGGAAGTATGTTTTATTCATACAGGAGTAAATGAAGTGACTTTTCTGTCACAGCTAGAGGTACAAATTAGGATATATCTACATTAACCTAGAGCTGTGTTTTAAACACAAGAGGCGTTTACTCAGTTTGGATCCTGAATCATACATATTTCAAAGAGGAGGAATATATTCCTTTTTTAGTAGAGCATTTCATTGGTAAAGGGAGTTCTACCCAAAGATGAGTGACCTGATCTGTACTTGCATGAAAGGAAATTGGAACAGAGCCTCATTTTATGATTTTTATTTTTTTCCATTTTGACAGGACAATTTATTACATAAGCATTCTCAGTGTTATGATCCCTTATAAAAACAACTGTCTCCTTACTTTACATTGTTTATAAAATAAAAGCTTTGGCTGTGAGAAGTACTACATATTGTGGTAGAATAATAACTGGGAATATGTACATTGCATGTAAAATGCTAGAAGAATCATCATCACTTTTTTACTCGCTATTTATTTAATAGTTTCAGAGCATGACTTGCTGCTAAAGCCCAAATTCTGCAAAGTACTCTAGGATGGATCAGTATGGGCCGGGGCTTGGACTGACCATGTGTGGCCTGTTGAAAGGTAAACTACAGGTCTAGTCCCATTCTTGACTGTCCACAGTGGCAATTGGATTTGGCCCCTTTCAAGAGACGTTTAAACAAAATGGAACAAAATCTTTCTTGAAAGTGCAGTAGTTTTTTGGTAGTCAGTCATGTTATGCAAATTCAAGTAATATAACTTGGGGGTTAAAATGGCATGGGCTGTTGTGACAAAGCGTAATGTTGCAATCTCGAGTCCAGCCACCCTTGGATGGGGGGGAAAGTTGGGTGTCACCACTCACTCCTGGGAATCCAAGTCTGGTAACCAGGTCGGAGT